AAATCACTACTTCTTCATAGGCAGCTCTCTGTAAAGCCCCACCCTGCGTTCCATTTGGGGACGAGTCTTATCTGCACATAGGGAAGTAACGACATGCATTGGAAGCCGAGGAGGGAGGAGAGAGGAGGGATGGGTGAGTCCACACCTGACGGGTCCAGTGCACGCTATCTGGGGGATGGGCACACTTACAACTTTGACTCAAACGGTGCAAAAGCAATTTATGTAACCAAAACGTTTATACGCCTGTAATATTCTGAAATTAAAAAAAAAAACAAAAAACTCTGTACTCTGAATGCCTTTTCTCCCGTCCTCCCCCATGTTGTCTTTATGTTGTATGTGACCTTTTTCACACGGTGAAAAGCCACCCAGCCCAGTCGCAGCCCTTTCTTTCCTCCCTAACCCGTCGAGCTCTGGCCACAGAGAGCGCTGTCTGATGAGCGCAGCAGTCGGGGCCACCACGTCTGGATTCCCATTCCCTTCCCGAGCCAGTAACAAAAGAAGAATAGAGGCCGGGCGCGGTGGCTCACGCCTGTAATCCCAGCACTCTGGGAGGCCGAGGCGGGTGGATCGTTTGAGCTCAGGAGTTCGGGACTAGCCTGAGCAAGAGGCTATAAATAGCCTCTTCCTACTATAAATAGGAAGAAATTAGCTGGACAATTAAAAATATATAGAAAAAAATTAGCCGGGCATGGTGGCGCATGCCTGTAGTCCCAGCTACTCGGAGGGAGGATCGCTTGAGCCCAGGAGTTTGAGGTTACTGTGAGCTAGGATGACACCACGGCACTCTAGCCCAGGCAAGACAGGGAGACTCTGTCTCAGAAAAAAAAAAGAATAGAAAGAAAAGAGAAAAAAAAGCAAAAAGAAAAAACTCAGCTCCCCCAACCCCTATTAAATTCAGAAACTCCATGTATTACTCTGAACTGCTAGATGCCTTGGACTTCTGCTTTGGTAATACCCATACTGCTTCGTACTAACTGCTCATTACTCTCTGTCCCCTCCGCCGAGCTCCAGCAACACTCCAAAACCTGGAACAGTGTCTGGTGCGTAGTAGATGCTCAGTGAAAGGTTTGATTGGTAAATGAATGACCAAACAAACAGATGGAGAAAGAGAGGACTGTGGTAGGAGTGGAAAAGATTCAGTCCTGGTTTCACCTTTAGGGGCCGGTATGTAACACAGGTCATTGGAAAGAGCAGAGCATCAGAGGAGCAGAACTCATCGTCTTACGTGAAAACTCAACAGTTCTTCCTTTTTTTTTTTTTAACTTAAACACAGTCCTGCTTCTGTTCAAGGCATCTAAACATTTGCCGTCTCTGCTTTGCTTCTTAGACCTCCCACGCAGCAGCGACCTAGCTGCTCCAGAGTGCTCTGTCCTGCCCGCTTTGTCTTCACCATTTTCCAGCGCCGCAGCAGCTGGTTGTCCCGGCCTCCCCCCCACGCAGCAGGAACGCTGCCCCGCTCTGCAGCAGAGTTTAAGGGAGAGGAGTTGAACACACAGCCCTTCCTTACTCATTTTCTGACTCCCATGGTGTTTTGAAAGTACTGAAAGCTAAGACTGCTTAGCCCCAAGGCCTTGTAAGCAATGCTGTGTGTATCTTAGACTTGCTGCCTACGTGGTAAGTGTATGGCTGCGTATGGAAGCGCCCAGCCCAGTGTTTCCGAAACTGCGTGGTACCAGGGACGGCGCTGCCTGCACTTGACTCAGGGCAGACGGACCCAGTGCCTTCGTTCGTCAGGACCAGGGTCCAGAGAACCGTCAGCGAGAACAGGTGCGAGACCAGCTCACTCCAGCTCTCTTGAAATCTGGAACACAGGAGCACTGTCTCTCTTCAGCGTTAGTTACTATCAGGGATTCCCACCTGGCAGCTCTAAACGAGTATAGGGTTTGGGCTGCGAGCAGCATTCGAATCCCTGTTGGGGTAACGGAGGAGGCTGGTGCAGAGGACAGTGGAGGGGACAGGTGAGGTCAGCGCTGACACCCTCGCCTGAGTCGCTGGGACGGTTGTGAAGATCCCAGTCCAGCTTCATCTGTTCCACCTCCTGACCAATACCTTTATCCTTTTGTCTTAAGACAGTATTTTTTAAACACTTTCCATGGGCCACATGCTTTAGAGTCATGTAGGGGTGTTTGTTTAAAAATGCCCATCCCTCAGCGCAGATGAAGAAAGCGCAGTCTGCGGAGTGAAGCCTTGAACCTGCCCCAGCCAGCCCACTCGGCCGACTCTTCGAACCCGCAAGTTTAGATGTTGGCTTGAGACCTTACTCACTGCTAAGCTTCAAACAGCCCCAAGAAGCGGTCAGGTTTTGATATAATAGAGTCATCGAAAAGAACTCAAGGCCACAGATGCCCAGTGAGGAGGAACAGGCACTCGCACGAGCAGGGAACAGAAATAGGGCAGCCAAAGAGCCAAGCAAACACTTGTTCGTACTTTCGCCCGAGGTTATACGGGCATTTGTCATCGTTGACTTCAGTCCAACAAACGCATACTGAGTCCCCACCATGTGCCGGGCACCAGGAATGAAAAGAACAGGGTCACTGTCCTGCAGGAGTTTACAGTCTGATAAAGAAAACTCTTAGGGGAGGGAGGAGGGGACGGGTATTTGCACACACACAGAGTGCAATGCGCACCACCCGAAGGATGGACATACTTGAAACTCGGACTTAGGGGGGAAGGGGGGGAAAGGGCAACATACGTAACCTAAACATCTGTACCCCCATAATATGCCGAAATAAAAAAAAAACTCTTGAATGGGTCATTTAAATAAATGGGGTAAGGCCAAAGGTTGAGATTCACACAAGAAACTTCGTTGTGTGAGAAGTAGGGCCCTAATCTAATGGCAGCTTAGCTCCTGGAGAAGGAACATAAATAGCAGTCAGGCAGGTTTGGGGGTGTGGGGGTGGCTGTTGAGGAGGAACTAAAGGGGGGCAAGGAACGGAGGGAAACAGCGTGTTCGCAACAGCGGGTGACCTGCCCAGACGAAGGTTCTGAATCCTAAAGCAGCGTGACAAGTCATCATCTGGCAGGTGGTTCAGGGCTGCTGTATCGCCAAAGCCAGGGAACGGACACAGGCAGGCAGTGACCAGGGACAGGCGGGTGTGGCTGCGTCAGGTGTGTGTGTCTCGGTAACTGCTACAGAGGCTTGTGCCAGCATCTCAAGACATCCCGGATCAGTCCTTAAAAGTCATTCCGAGTTCATGGACTCAAAATGTTAATTGTGGTTGCTCCGAAAGCACGTTACAGCCAGTTCCCGGGCCCTCTCTGGGACGTCGTGCACAGAATTGCAACAACCAGTAAGTAGACCGTGATGTGAAAACGTTTCGGTGTAGATCTGAGCTTGTTTCGAGTATCGCTGGAAGAATACACGAGGAAATAGTAGCATCAGTGCACTCTGGAGAGGGGGACTGGGGACAGGGGGAAAGAGGCTGAGTTTATGCAGGGGTCGCACTCTGTTCCCTTTTATACTGGATTTGAGTTGTTTGCCTTGTATTTATCGCCTATCTAAAAAATCGTAAAGGAGGACTAGAGAGACACATGCCCATAGCATAAAGAAGTTGTCTGCCAACATATGAAAGAGTGAATTTATATCAACAACCAAATTAATAATCTATTCATGTAACAGTGATTACAATAGTAACGTTAAAACTGTTTTGTCTTTCACAGCGCAAGAAAACCACTGGATGGAAGAAAGCTCTTGGATACCCTCTATAAATTTGGCCTTTTTTTCTCTTCCAGTTTGCAGCCCACCTTGTGAAAATGAAATACCCAAGAATCTGCATTCTAGATGGCGGCATTAATAAGATCAAGCCAACGGGCCTCCTCACCGTCCCGTCTCCTCAGATATGAAGAGCCAGGAGTGTGCCAGCCGCAGGAAGGACAGGGTGGCCCCGGCACCGACAGCCCGGGTCCTCGCGGCCCTGCCACTGCAGGACAGAGCCAGGCGTCCTTAAACCTTGTCTCGAGACATCTTTGTAAATCTCACAACTCTCAAACGTTCAGCTGTCCAGGCAAGAAACTTGACTATACATGTATTGCTGAAAGAATTTTCTTAATGGTGAAACCTGATCGTGTATTTTTACCACACTGCCACACAAAGCCACAAGAATTCAGCTGACGAAGCACATTGAGCATTATCAAGAAATCCCAGTTGCTGTGGAAAGCTGTCCCCCACTGCACTGCCCAGACAGTGGTATTGTGTAGAAAGAGAGACTGAATGTGGGCCGAAATCGTCATCTTTCCGTGATAAAAACTGAAAAGCTATTTACGATACATTCCCTGTAAATAAGTGCTACATTTGGTAACTCGCTTTACCCAGACAAGTTGTGTGTGTGTGTGTGTGCGTGCTCATGTGTGTGCACGCACGTGTGTGCGTGTGCTTAGGAGGAGCAGAGTTTAGCCCATTGCAGAACATGGTAGTGGTTTACTCCCAGAAAAATGAATTCCAGAAACCGTTCATATATATCACAAATACTCAGATACTGATGCAGAGCTAGGAGGTTAGTTGGAGTTATTTACTTTCTCAGATTAGTCTGATGGAGGCTGATCAGTGTGAAAAGTTTTCCACCTCCTTTGGGCTACTACAGCTCAATCACGGTACAGTCCTCCTAAATGGTGGGTTATCTGCGTTTAATTTGTAACAAGATTTTTTTCATATCAGCATGTCTTAAAGTCGGTCATTTTGGTTCATGCCGCAATTTGGTGCCTAGAAAGAGTCACGAGGGCACCGTTTTCCTGATAACAAGGAAATTTCTAAAATGTCCCTCCCCTTTTTTCACGTTAAACTGATTAACATAAATCCTAAGCAGATGAGTCTCACAGCATCCCAGGCAACAGAGAAGGACCGGTCCATACTCAGAAAGGAATACGCCTACAGCTACTCATCACTGTTTTTAAAAGACAAGAAACGATCGAAGCCTCTGTCATCGCTTCTGGTCAACTAATGTTTTATAAAGCCCGGTGGACGTGAAACGTGCCGGTTGGATATTTAAGGAGTAGGATCACATCAAAACAGAAATATGTCAGTGAGAATCAGCGGAGTATTGAAGTGCTGGTGTTTGGAGTTCACATTTAGAGTGTTACCGACAGTGAGTCTGACTTTTTAGAAACACCCTCACTCGTAAATTGCACATATGTGTATGTGTGTAAGTGACTGAAATAATAAAGAGATGATTTTAATAAATTAAATCTTAACCCCCTCATTGCAGTGTAAATTGTGGACATGTTATTTTAATATGAATCTAAGCAGCAGTATAACAACTATTTAAAATTTCTGTGGTGACTTACATAATTTACATAAAGCAAGACATCACATATTTGTGAAAAAACTATCCCATAACATGACAACAGCTCAGGCAGAAGCTGACTATATTAAGTGCCCTGTAAATAATTAATTGTATGACATTCCGAAATGAATTTAAAATTGCCTCTTTTGATTAAGTGAAGTTCTATCACAATTCGTATTAAAGTTAATTATTGTCAGCCAACTTCTGTTAAATCAAAAAGAATAAATTAATGAGGAAATTAACTGTTGCAATTATTTAGCCCTTTTAATTAGCTTGTCCTGCCCAGGGCATGAACTGAACCACTTTTTAAAAAGCTGGCTGGGCATTTCTTGCAAAGCCCGGTTGAGGTTTTATGTGAGTGTGTTGTCGGGTGTGCACTTCATTACTTAGCTGAAACAAAACGCTGATTGTTAAAGATCTGAACAAAATGCGAAACTAAATATTTGGCACAACTTAGTTATATAAAACTCACCAAACGAAAACAGCAAACGGTGAAAGGGACCCACCGACAGCTCCAAATGCTGTCGTCCCAAACACGCTCCCCCCGACGCACTGGCTCCAGGTCCTGGCGTTTATTGCGCCACGAGGGGCGTGAGTGCCCCAGCCGTCCCGGGCCGGGTGAAGCCTCAGCTCCTCTGCTACGGCTCCCCCTCAGACGGCATGTGTTATGTTTTGTTCACCCGGATCTCAGAAGGCTGGAATGAGGAAGGATGGGCCGAGGTTTCAGGTTGGCTGGCATTTGTTTAGTGTTCACGATTAAGAGAGGGGTGGAAGTTTCTCAAGGATCTTTCGTTTCACAGCACTAAGTTCCCTTAAGCCCCCAGAATTAGGGTAAATCCCGCTTCACGCAGCACTGGTTAGGAAGCTCAAAGCCCCCGTGCTCAAGAGAGCGACCGTCTTCACAGCAGGGTCTCCGATTTCCAGTGTCGGCACGTAACCCCGAGACACCTCGAGAATAAGAACTATGTTCCAAGATCCCAACACTATCACGTTAAGTAAATTAAAAAAGACCACCCCGACAAAAGCATGTTTTAGGAAGAGGAGAGAAAGAGAGAGTTTTCCTCTCCCTTAAACCTCGAATCGCAGGGAGCTACAGGAAGAGGAGGAGGCTCAGTACCAGAGAAGCCGGATTCCTGAAGCTCACAGAGGTTCTCCGACGCTCTGGGTCCTCACGTACGTAACACAAAAGGGAAAATAACATTTATCTCCCTGTCTCCAAGGCGTATATTGAAGCTCATGGAAAAGTATCATTTGAATATGTTTACAATTTTTAGAAAAATATAACTGTCCTGTAAAACTATCAAGCCAAAATTTTGATCTATTGTGTAATTTTTAAAGAAGAAATATGGACACAACAAATAATTACTCTTACTATTCATATATCTGGTCCTATTATGCAGCATTTTTTTTTTTTTCTGAGACAGAGTCTCACTATGTTGCCCGGGGCTAGAGTGCCGTGGCGTCAGCCTAGCTCACAGCAACCTCAAACTCCTGGGCTCAAGTGATCCTCCTGCCTCAGCCTCCCGAGTAGCTGGGACTACAGGCATGCGCCACCATGCCCAGCTAATTTTTTCTATATATTTTTAGTTGTCCAGCTAATTTCTTTCTATTTTTAGTAGAGACAGGGTCTCGCTCTTGCTCAGGCTGGTCTCAAACCCCTGACCTCAAGCGATCCTCCCTCTTCGGCCTCCCAGAGTGTTAGGATTACAGGCGTGAGCCACCCCGCCCGGCTCTATTATGCAGCATTAAAAGAAAGGAAAGATTCACGAGCAGTGTTAATATCATACACAGCACACTTGCTACTGTTTGATTCAATTTAAAGCAACCATCTCTGCTAAGTGGATAAATTTTATACAAGATTCTTTCAGACTTCTCTTTGTTTTGCATACTACCCTTTCCAAACCAAGTTTTACCAACGTAAAACACACCACTTTTAAAATAACCCAAATTCTCTTGATAAAATCTGGCAGTTTCAATATTGCCAATAACTATCTGCCCCTCGATGGCAGAGATTAACTTTGTTTCAAATCCATCCCTTCCCTCAGTTTTATCCCCCTCTTCCCAGGCTTCAAAGCAGCTTTGTGGTTTGTCTTGCAGAAAATCAGTGGTTGCAAGATGAAGAGCAGCCCTTATTTCTCTCTGCCTGCTCAAGGTCATCGCGCTCAGCGGCATCTGCAAGATCCGCAGCCGTTACTCCCTGCAGACGGGAGCAGTAAACTGATCACATGCACAGAAACCCTTACAGAGAGAGAGCAGGACTCATTTCAAGGGGCAGGATCACATCAAAACAGAACTACGTTAATAAGAATCAGCAGAGTATTAAAACACCGGTGTTTGGAGTATGCATCTAGAGTGTTATCCACGGTGGCTCTGACTTTTTAGAAAGCTGCGTCTGGACTTGTTACAGGCACAAAACTACATAATTCATCGTGTTCTCTGACAGGCACCCATGGAGTTATTTGGATCTAGTAAGCTTTAAGGACACCCCTAACAAGGGCATTAATAAGTGAGCGCGGTGGGCGTTGGATTCCGCACAGGTGGGCAGACGCCTCGTGCTCCCACCACGGAGCAGCCAGCGTGGGAGGCCCTGCTGAGCCGGCCTTGCGTTAGCCCCCCCGGCAGCCACGGCCGCTCTCACTGCCCCCTGCTCTGCGCGCTCCTCGGCTCTCAACGCTCTATATCCCACGGCCACTGTTTGAACCAGTATCAGGAGAAAAAAACCTGAAAACCCACATATTCCCCAAGGCCCTCGAGTCAACAGTGTGCATCCCTAGAGTTCCATATGGCCCTCCAGGGTGACACCTGCTTTGTCCTGCCTCTGTGACGCGGCTGGGGGGCTACGTCGGGCACAGGGTTCAAGTTCTGGTGGTATTTTATGGTGGCCTAAAAATCCCTGCTGGTCACACTCCTCTTTACGGAGTTTTCAGGTGGATTTTACGGAGCAGGGGTGAGAGTCAGTGGAAAACAGAGCAGCAGTTCGTGGCTGGGCCGGCGACCGCTACGCCCCACCCCAGAGCTCCCGCGAACCTGGGTCAAAACCGCCGGCTTAGGCTGGAGGCCTGCACAGACCCTCGGCTGCCCCAGCCAGAATCTGACTCCCAGAATCCCACCTTGCAGTTTACCGCGTGGTATGGGAATTAGAAGCAAAGGGCCCGTAAGCTTTAAACACGCACGTCAAAGGGCAACAACAACAACAAGACGGCCGGTAACAAAGGGACCTCAGTTCAGCCTAACGGTTGTGCCCCTCGCCGTGGAACAGAGAGGGAGACAGAACCTCTTAAACGCTGAGCAGTCACCCCACCCGTCAGTAAGTGTGGCCCCCAAAACTGGTCTAGAAACAGACGCATCAGATTACGACCCCCGTTTCGAGGGGAGAAGCAAGGAAAGGCAGGGTGTGCGTGGGGTTCCTCTTCCAGTGTGTGCTGCTTCCCTCGTTCTAGATTCCTTTGAGGGCGAGATGGGTGGCATCTTCATTTTGCTATTTCTCACAGAAAGTGGTACTGTCACCGAAGTGCTGGGCTTCACTGGGTGTTCACGGAAGGAAGGAAGGAAGAGAACACTGTTCACAGCATAAAAAGCATCCATCGACGACAGATTAAGCACCTTCACCCTGGGATGTGCAGGGGGAGACTAAAGAAATAATGGTCATTGTCCCTGTGTAGAGGTTGCCACGTGCAAAGGAATTAGCCAAGGGAACCAGACCAGAGCTGGGTGGCGTGGCCCACAGCCGGGCTGTGTGCTCACAAAAGCCAGACCTGGCTTCCCTGCGAGCCGAGGCCGTCCCTAGAGGCGCCACCTCGCAAGATGGGGCGTCTGTGCTTCGGGCTCAGACCTTGCCACTGTTTGTGTGACCTTGGGAAAACTGTTCTGTCTTCTTCAGTCTTGGGGTTTTTTTAATCTGTTAAATGAAGTCGATTAATGCCATTTTGTAGGCTTGGTGTAAGGAGGAAAGGAGAAAGCGGTTATGAGGCAAACGGTACGTAACACACAGAGCACATGAAAACGGAGGTAGCTATTTTCATGGTTCTCATT